GACAGTCATACAATCCTTGGAGAATGCTTGGTCGCATGTAGTTTAGATTTTCAAAAAGGAAGAATAAAGGGACAATGAGGTTTTTTCTGTGTTAGATGCCTTTTTTTTTAACCACAAACAGATATATGCTTGTATATGTAGAAGGTTCCTGTTGGCTCAATGTGTTAGATCTTACATCTGGATACTAGCAAGTTGAGATGAATAAGGGAAAATAGAGCTAAGAATGCTTTTAGCATGAGAGATGGTCTATGAATTGTGCATCATGCCATTCAGTCTATATAATGTGCCAGGTACTTTTAAGCAACTGGTGGAGCTTACACTCAAGGTATTGCAATGAAACAGATGCCTTTTTTACATTGGTAATGTTATAGTGTTTGGTTGCACTTTTAAGTACAAGACTGAAACTTTGAAGATAGTAATCCTGTACATACAAAAGGCAAGCTTCAAACTAAAACCAGGAAAATGCTCATGAAAGCAGAGTTTCTAGGTCATATTGTGGGTGGAGGTGGACTCTCAACAGACTCAGCTAAGATAGCTGTAATAAGAGATTGACCTCAACCCATGGTGAAGCAAGAATTTCAGTTTCCTTGAATTTTTGTGATACTACTGATGATTTGTAGTCAGCTTCTCAAAGATAGCTTCAGCTCTCACAAAAATGGAAGAACACTTTGGATGGAATATTGGAATTTAACTGAATTACATAATATTTAATTATCTTACTGTAAATGAAAGGATTGCTATAAAATTAGTAAATAAAAAAAATTGCTATGTTCAGAACAGATAAGTCACCATGACGAGAAAATGTTTTCCCAAAGTTTTAAAGGAGATCAAAGATCAGACATAAGAGCCTCTCTCTTCCAATAGACAAGTGACTGAAGGTTAATATAACACTCATCCTTAAGATTAGAACTTAAACCTGCCCTTTTATTTTGCAGGAAATTATCAGTTTCCCATATAATCTCTCGTAAATTGCTGGCCTCCACTACAGCTGATGACAAGTCATTTCATAAACCAATTGTCTTGCTGGACAAATAAAACTGTTTTAACTAGAATCTAACCTGTCTTCCAAATCTTAAACTTGTTTCTACTTGTAATAATTAGCATTTGTCAGTATTATTATGTCATGTTCACTAAACCAAGAGATGTTGCTAGAAGCCTCTCAATGCTAGGTTTAGCATTACACCTTGTATGGAAATGCTTTAACATTTGTGTTGTGGTACAATGGTGTCAAATTGTAAACAAAAATAAATACCTAGTCCAATATTTGGGCTACCTAATATGCCTCCCCTGAACCATTTCCATTAAGTCAATATCCTTTATTAAATAAAGTGACCAAAAAAGTAGCCATAATGATGACATTAATTTATTGGGTATTTCTATATGTACTGCAGATGCTGAAATACTACAGAATGAGCTGGACTAACTGTTAAGTTAAAAAAATACTTCATAAATGATCATGATATAGAGTGTATGCTCAACAAGAACAGCAACATCCTTGACGGCTGTTGGCTCTCAATAATTAAAATTAAATGATCAAGAACAGAGTCTAGGTTTTTGAAGATGGTAAGTTGTTGGAAGGCCAAATGAACTATGATTCTGGATTGAAAATTACTATTGTTTTTAAGAAGTTTATGATCCTTATACACTGAAATTCCTATCATTATACCTTTTGTTCACTGTAAAGTTTCACAACTTTTTATGTTTACATACTTCAATGAACACTGCTTTCAAAATTTAATCCCACCAAAAAAAATCACAAATTTCTTACCATATGTCATAGAGTGGTCTAAGGAAAATATACCTACGTTACAATTGTTGTTCTGTAGTAAGAAAGAAAAAAGTCAAAACAGAAAATATGGATTGTTGGAGCAGAAATTTGGCAGGTATTTCATACATTTAACTGTACTAAAATAAGGCCTGATTATGTTTCCTAAGACTATTCTCATACCTATACATGAAAGAAACAAAATAATCCAAAATGAAGTGACAAAGTTGTGGAACAATATTGAAACCTATATTACTGTCAGGATTGAGAAAGAACTATAAAAGGAAATAGAAAATAAAAATATGCTATGGATAATACAAAACCTATTATAAGAATAACTGTATGTTTAATAACTTGTCAAGAGCACTGTAATTAAGCTATGCATGTTGAATACACCATTGAATACATACATGCAAAACACTTAAAATCGATCTTGACAAAAAGAATGACTGCATAAATCACACATCAAACAAAAGTAGATTATTTGCCATGGCATTCATAATCTTTGTCTACTACTGTGATATTGAACTAGATATCAAAAAACAAAAGGAATCATATGAATGTGATTGAGAAAAAACATGTCATTTCAAAAACTGGAGAATACTCCATGTTCAGATTTCTAGTTCATGTATGTTCTTTGATGACTTCCTAACCAGTGAACTCAACTTGCAAAAGACCATCAAAGGCATCTTGACATGTACGCTTGTTTGGAGATATCTTAGATTCATAGCAATACTTGTCATGTATTAATATTCATATATCCAAATTTGTCACTGAACATAACATGTGAAATAGGTTAGTATTAGTTTAACATTGTCACATACCTTATCAACATCTGTACTGTATATGAAATGCTGTGATTTATAAAAATTATATCAGATGTTCTATTGCCTTGAAGATACTAAAGAATGTCAAAATTATACTATATATATATATTTCATTCTTTCTTTCAACTATTACAGCTAATTAAAATTACTTGTTCCTTATAGAACCAGTTTCATAGTTTTCATTCCATCTTGTTACTTCCATTGTACTTCTTTTGACCTTGTATGGTGATGTTTAGGTTTGATCTTAAGTTGAAATAGGTCATTCCTAATTAACTAAAATATAAAAGTAAAACCTAAATACAATTTAACTATCTCTCTAACTATAATATAATTAGGTAAAAAATAACCAAAGTGCTATCGTGAACAAAACACCTGGATATAACACTATCCCATGTTAACATTTTGCTTACACTTAATGTATTTAAAGAAATCCTTACTGTTAATTTTTACAAATTCAGCCCAATGTTTTTCATATACCCTAATTGACTTCCTAATTTCTTGTTTGATCAACTCTCTTGATCTTCTATAGCCATCTACGTCTCTTGTCATACCTGACCTTTTACTTCCAGCCACCTTTTTTATTCTATAAGAAATATGTTTGTCTTGAATATTTAAAAATGTATTTTTAACATTTTTCCATGTTTGATCAGTATCTTCAATTAATTCAGTTGCTAGTTTACAACAGATGATTCTTGGCACATCTCTTCAAACTTGGTTTTTTGAAATTTGTAACTTATAATCCCATTATTCCTGATCTCTATCAAATTTAATTGATAAACAACCAATTGCACCCAAATATTCCCAAAATCTCCACCTTCTCTCTATTTCTGTGTTTAAAATTAACAATAAAATAGCATTATTCCTAACAGGTTCCTTTATTAAATGGTGAAATGAAATAAACCATTTTGAATGGTTTCTAAACACCAGTCTCCTGCAAAATTTGACTCTTAACATTCCAAACCTCAATGTCTGAAATTAAAATTACCCATAATTATGGCTTCATTAACAGCTAAAATCTTAATCTCAGTTGACTTCTTCATTAATTTTACAAGTTTCATTTTGTGGTTCTTAATATTCCATCTGAAAGCCTACTTTCTAGGAATGGAAAGGTTCTCCTAATAGGATGGGTTAAGATTTCTAAAATTTTCTTTTGAACACAAGAAGAGTTAGAGGAGAACTGATTAAGACTGTCAAGGGAAAATAATCTATAATAGTATTGGTAAATCATGCTTTATTGTACTTAATAAATAATGGTATGGCTAGGAGATACAAATATTAGTTTTTGCTGGGTGTGTGCTTTTCTTATAGCAAAGCAGCAAAGGGCTATCTGCTGAGCCCACCGAGGGGAATTGAATCCCTAATTTTAGTATTGTAAATCTGTAGATTTACTGCTGTCCCAGCGGGAGACTTCGCAAGGTAAAAGTCATCTTCAGAATAGTTTACACTTTGATTTTTTAACACTGAAACTAAAAGGTGGTTGGCCTTTTCAAGGCTTTTGAAAAGGTTTACCTTCAAATGTAAAGAGTTAATTTAACTTATGCCATAACTTGAAGTTATGAGAGTTCATGGCTTGTTAAATTAAGTATTTGAATGATAATGAGTGACTTTTTGTTTTTTTCTTTGTTTTGTATTTAAAGTTTAGTGTAATGGAAAAGACTAGTACCACTACTAGTAGTAGTAAATGGGCAAATAGGTCTCTTGTTGTCCTTAAATTTTACACTAAACTAACCGAGAATTGAAATTCGATGACGCGGAACCCATTTTGAGACTAATAATGCTTGGAGACGGCTTGAATGGGTAATGAAGAAAAACTTTAATATAAGTTTAACATAACAGCAAATGTACATCGTTTCGACAAGGTTTTGTCACCATTGGGTACATTTGCTGTTATGTTAAA